AACGACTTGAGTTTTTTTGAGAAGCTAGAAGGATTAACTTATTAGATGACATGTTTTCGTTGTTTCGAAAAAATTACAATTGTTGGAATAGCGAAGAAAATAGTAAAAATATTAAGAAGTCCTTTTTTCAATTTTTTTCTGATCCTATAGTGAAAATTTAACAAATACCTCTTATACACTTAATTAAGATACGTACACGCTGAAAATTCCAGGGTATAAGTTACAAACTATTAAAAGTGGTTAGACTTACAAGTTAGAGTTACAAATAAGTTACAAAACTAAAAAACTCGTACTTTCGACTTATAAACCTGAAGATTTTTTACTACTTCGGTGCTCGTAGCTTCTTTGCTTTGACCGACGAATTTTGTTATGACTGGGCCCGATAATGGTGGCCTGACCTGGGTCACTCTGAAAATCACCATCGGGTGTCGATCGAAAACGAAGAGACAGGAATACTGTTTCGTTGAACGTCGACTAGAATGGTCATAAAACCAGCTTTCGATTTCACTATTGTTATTAAGCAGTATTATTGATATATATACATAGATAGTAATTATATACTTAGTCATGGCAATAAAGGAACTGTAACATCGCAGCTTCACTTTTCTTTTTCTTAGATATATAAGTGTACAAGAGGCATATTTCAAATGTTCATTATAGGCTAAGATAAAAAAGTTAAAAAAAGTGTCTGTTACTATTTTTGTGCGTGTTTTGTCAAACATTTCCCTGTACATTGTGAAACAACTAATTACAATTAAATCATTAAAACTTAATTATCTAGACTAATCCTTAACTTCTCATAAACGTTCAAATCATTTTATGGATAACTAGCTGACGTACCCGCTCTCGCGCGGGCAGTTTCATATTGCAAATCATATTTTAGTTCGTATATACAGACTAGACTGTAATATACCGTGAATAAATAAGCAGCATAGACTTTTGGATAGTGCAATATGAATCACATCGATTTGTGGCTTTTTAAACTTTTTTGTCTGCCTCAGCTCATCGTTAGCTAAAGAACATTGTCGCTTGACTGTTCCTTCGACTAACTTTGGCCCGCAGGAATAAATGGGCTGTTGAGCGCCGGGCGAGAGGCCAGCGACTGACGATCGAAATACAATGTAAACAGATAAGGAATGAAATGCATGAATGCAAATTTAATCTTTTATAGTTTTCAGTATACATTCATTAAAGTGTCACGAATGAACTGAGGAGATTCTGTCGGTGGAAATGAGTCCAAATACGACATCATTCGGATTATTTTCAATAATATATCATTTTCATCCGCAACATTACGTATGAGTAACAATTGTCCAATTACACTCGAATTTGACACATTGACTCGAATTTCATGACATTTTCATTAAAATATATTGCAAATTGTAACAGTTTAAATTTTCATTCGTGCGTCATTCCTTATCTCATCTACGTCTGTTTACATTGTATGCCGATGGGTCGGTCGCTGGCCTTGGACGTTCGGCGAGAATCCAAATCTCGCCACGAGCCGTAGGCCGTAGGTCTTCCATCGTTCTCCTGACGGGCAGAATTGCATGCGGAATATGAGGCAACAGCGTCAGAAAAATCGATACTGTCCGGCAACACTGTCGTCGCGTGGCGAATACACAAACCCAACTTGATGGTAACGGGGAACAAAATTTATTTGTGGATATTCCCGTTAGATGTATTATCAAGCTGTCCCAAATATCGATAACGTGTTTCCGCTAGCGTCCGATTGTTTACATCAGCGCTTCGATCGATTCGGAGTTGGCCTCGAAGGAGTCTGCCCCCTTAAGTTCGGTTGCCATACAAATTACTATGGATTTTATTCCGCTTATAACAATTCCACTTACTATGACCAACTGCTTACAGCGACGTAATTTTCGATAGTTTCGTATGACTACAATGTCGTCTCACAGAATCTTTGTGTTGTGTTTACCAACATTCCCCGCCCTTCGCTGGATATTCCGCGCACTCACGATGTGTAATGACCTGTCAAACGTCGTATCGTTAGTATTTTGTGCGTGCACGATTTTTGTGTAACATGGCACTGCATAAAAAACGAAAGAGTTTTTCAATTGAAGAAAAAGGTGCTATTATTTGTCGATCGGAAGCAGGAGAGTCAAATGCTACACTCGCAAAGGAACTTGGTGTGTCTCATTCCACCATTTTAACGATTAATAAGAACCAAAATATGGTTAAAAATCTGTTTAAATAAAAAATTCTAAAATCTAAGCGCATTAGAAGATCTACTCAGGGCGCCATCGAAGAACCATTGCTGCAATGGTTCAAGACTCAAAGAAATCGTGGAATACCTATCAATGGCCCTATACTGCAAGAAAAGGCCAATTAGTTCGCCTCGCAATTCAACATTCCAAGTTTCACATGTACACTAAGTTGAATTAATCGATTTAAAGTGAGAAAGAACATTGTAGCTGGTAAGATAAGTGAAGAATCACAATCCGTTAACTATGGCGAGGTCACTGATTGGTTCGTGACTGTTTGGCCTAATTTACGAAGACAATTTACTGATGATCTGATTTTTAACGATGACAAAACCGGCCTCTTTTATAAATTAACGCCAGACAAAACATTAAAATTCAAAGGTAATACATGCCAAGGTGGCAAATTATCAAAAGAAAGGAACTCAGTAATGGTTACTGCGAACCAGAGATGGGCACAATTTTATTCGAATAACACATAGCGAGAAGCAGCAGTATCTAAGATCGTCATCCTGACCTTTAAACACTTCATGAGATTAAATAACTGTTTGCAAAGTGTCTACTCATTCAAGAAGAAATATTATTTTATGATAAAAATTGGAATTACCACGTTCAATCAAGTAAAAATGACGAAATATTTTGTTCATCTTTTATTCGTTATTCGAAACTTTTTATCTGGATAATGAACATTCCCACCTCTGCTGCGAACATGAGGGGCACGATTATGAAGAAGTTGCTGGTAATCGGAAAATCTCAACGTCCCAGATCCTTTAAAGGTTTAAAATCTTTACCTGTAGATTATGAGAGTAACAAGAAGGTTTGAATGACAACAGCCATTTTTGAAGAATGGATTCGGACTTGCGATCAGGATCTGGTGAAAAAAAAGAAAAATATATTACTCCTGATTGATAACTGTCTTTCTGATCCACCAATCGCTGATCTAAAATGCATAACAGTAGTTTTCCTTCCACCTAACACCACTTCAGTCTTACAGCCAATGGATCAAGGAATTATAAGAACACTTAACACAAACTTCCACGAAAACCTTCTACTGTAAATCGTCGAAAATGATTTTGACGCCCATACAGATTTTACTTTCAGTTCCATAAAGCTATCAGTACTAGACGCTTTAATAATGATTTATGATGCATGGAACAAGATTCCACAACGCAGAATTTACTATTGTTACAGACATGCTGGTCTTGCTGAAACGTGAGCAACAGGAGATGAAACTAACGAAAGGGATCCTTAAATAGACTTTGACGATGAAGACGATATTCTCCTACCCTGTTGGGCAAAAAAATTTAATACGCAGCCGCCAATACGACCAGAAGATTTAGATGATTTTGTTGATGTCAACAACGACGTTGTTACATATGAGGATCCTAGTGACGAAAATATTATGCATAATATTATTGCTGAACGTCGCGAAACTGATGATGATTCCGAGGAAGTAGTATCCAAGAATCCGAGTGTAACGGAAGCCTTGAAGACAGGATATCCTCAACAAATTCGTACACGCTAATAATGACGATGATAAAGTAAAAACCGCAATGTCTTACTTACACATTACGATAACTACTATAACTCTGGTAAAGCAAAAAAAAACTAAAATGACTGATTTCATAAACCTTACGGCGTAGAAATATTGTCAGGGTACGAACATATATACACATGTTTATATACTATTAATATATCTAACAATATATACATGTATGTACTTACATATTTTTCTTTTTCTTCTCGTCAATAAAAATATTATTACTTGAATATATCATGATTTTTTCTCTTGATGGTAACATTTTAATTACAATATTAATACATACAACATCTCCATGTTTTCATTTTGCCTTTAACAATGGTCGTTTATAGTGACGTAATTTATCTGTCCCTTGAATGTCGCTATAAACGGACCCCGCTGTACTATTTCTTTAGAATGCGATATATACTTTTGAACTATGTACAGTACTTTTACGATATTGCCTCGGCCGGAGCTGTGAGAGAGTAAAATTCTTGGAAACAGCAATGCATTGAGAGCCCTCTCCATGCTAAGTTTTACTGTCAAAGCCCCGGCCACAGTGCATGTGCAAGAGCTGGATTGTGCTCGAAGCGACGCACAGTGGGACGAACCGTGTAAAAATTGTGTCATGGACAAAAATTTCAATTTCGGATTTTGACTTTTTTATTTATCCGAATATAATTCTTGGACATTATAGAACAAGGAATTGCAAAGAAAGAATTTTTAAATTGTCTAAAACCTGATTTTTCAATGATTTGTCGTACACTTTTGGAGACATCTATTCTTTGAAATAAGGCATGAAATATTTGAAACTAAAAAATGTTTTTCGTTTATGCCATGTTTATGTCAAGTGGCAATATCGTAAGAGTCCACTGTATATGTAAAAATCTGTGCGATGTTATCACTTGAATAGCGTTCCTTGTAAGTTTATCTAATTAGAAACTACATATACATATACGTTAAAAAACAGGCGATGTAAAAGCAAAAAAGCACCGTATCTACGATTGCATCAGATAGCAGCCGCTATTTTTGCCGCATTTATAAGTCTAATTCTTTAATGTTTCTAATAGAAATGTAAATTTGTAGAAGAATGTTTACTAAACATGACAATAGAGCAACTGCACTTCTTACCTTAAATGTGGCAAAAGCATTAAACTTTATAAAGTAAATTTTTGAAAAGGATTAGTTCTGGAAGAATCTACCAATGTTCTTATGAAAATTGCTACGTATGTCTTACTGGAACAATTTTTTCTTTGTTGCAGCAAAGTTGGATGGTGTGAAAACGTACATGAGAATGAGAAGAGTGCCAAAACATCTGCAAGTGAAAGTAATCAAGTGGTTTGACTACCTCTGGTTAACGCAAAAATGTTCGGATGAAGAAAAAGCTGTCAGCTGTCTTCCCGGTAAGGTTTGCCAAGTATCTTTGAATTCGGTTCTTTTTACTTTGTTTATAATTTGAAGGCATACCATATTCATCCATGAAATGAAGATGAAATGAAGAGTGAAAGTCACTTTACCGTTTAGCAATGAAACGTTCTTGACTTCAATAATATTGTCTAAATGCTGCGATATTCTAACAGTAAATATAAAACATAAATATGAAAGAAAGAAGGTTACATTAAATTTCAAGTTTAATTGGAGCGATAAAATTGCTGCAAATTTTATGTACATATACTAGATGTACCACTTTAATTTTCCCAGACAAATATCTCGAAAAATATGAAAGATATGGAAAAATATTTCAAATAAAAGTTGTAGGATATCGAGGGAGGACATATCGTACGGACATTCATTTGACTTCAAATATTTAAATAAGAACTTATATTTTCTACCACATATTCTTGTAGCTAACACCAAAAGATTTTCCAAAGGCTACCTATTCTTGCCTTTTGCATGATCGATTCTCAAGATATTGAGAAAGATGGACAGAGAGGGGGCAGAGTGAGGGAGAAAGAGGGAAACAGAAAAGGAAGGAGAGAACTGCTATTAGGCTTCCTATTCTTCGGTTTGTTGCTTGCACATGTGTAGTAAAACTACCATCCACTCTTGGCTTAACTTGTAGTAGAGTCATTGTCAGCAGAGCTATAACTAGGACTATACTTTGTAAAATCTAACTGAGCTCAGAACTAGCCCCATACTTCATATATGTACAATAGAAAATGACCATCAATCCATTGATCACTCTTCTTTTCAACATTATTGTTTTGTATCAAATCAAAACGTGAGCCGAATGATATTACAATTCCAAAAGTATGAACGGACGCGCACGGATTCTCTTTTTTTAACTCTTTCAGTACACATGCAAATGTGACCTTGATGAAAATAGTCAGCGGTGAATTCGTACCGAATATTTTTGCTATGTGTATAATGCAATTTAACCTTTTCGTAAAAGTTATTTGGAGATATAGAATACCAGCATAGAAACAAAAAAACTGAAATTTACGTAAAAACAATATTTTTAGTAACAATCATAATAACAAAATTTTCATTGAATAAATAATGAATTTTCTTCTCATGAAAACTTACTACAGTAATCTTAAGGGTTAACTTTTGTATTGAAACGGGCCGCTAGTCGCAAATTTCGACATTAACTCGCTGGTATCGCTCAGCGCTGAGCGTGGAAGTTGAAGTAGGACTTTTGTTCGAGCTCAAGAAAAACCACACGAAAAATTACGATAACTGACCGAACATTGAGAACAATGATTAGACTATACAAAATAAAGAGTCGTGGACTCTGACGCAGAGATGGGCATTATCTAGATAAAAAATTATTTAAATAACTGTTCGAATAAAATGATTACCATAAATATAAATTCCTTTTCTGTGGTTGAATAGTGCTGTTCTGCGTTATTTAAAGTTCTACTGGCGAATGCAACCGGTCTTCGCCTCCCAGTTGTATCTTCCTGTTCTAATACACTACCGATTGCAATGTTGGAGGCGTCCGTGGTTAGAAAATAAATTTTATTTTGATCCCCTAATTGTAATATGCAATCAGTGCAAAGATTTTCTTTTAAGGTTTGAAAACTACGTTGTTGTTCTGGACCAAAGACAAACTTAACATTATTTTTCAATAAATTGTTGAGTGGTTTTGCCGTTTTACTAAAATCTTTTATAAATTTACGGTAGTAGCCCGCAAGACCAAGAAATTGTTTAATTTGCTTAACATTTTCTGGTGTTGGAAATTGGCGGACAGCTTTCAATTTCTCTGGGTGAGGTCGTATTCCGTCGGCTATTATAAGATGATCAAGATAAGCAAGCTTTGGCATTAAATTCTCACATTTATCCGGTTGTAGTTTAAGATTTTTATCATGCAGTCGTTCAAATAATGTCCCTACATGTCGATTATGTTCGTCCAGACTTTTACCAAAAACAACAATATTATCCAGATAAACCAAACATATTTTACCAATTAATCCTTGTAATGCAGCGTCCATTGTCCTCTGGAACGTAGCAGGCGCGTTCTTCAAACCGAATGACATTCGATTATACTCAAAATGACCCAGCGGCGTCGAAAAGGCTGTCTTCTCTTTGTATTCTTCTTTCATGGGGACTTGATGGAATCCACTTGCCAAATCGAAGGCACTGAAATATCTTGCTTGTCCGAGTGAATCCAGTATCTCGTATATATTCGGAAGTGCATAATTGTCCTGGGGCGTTTTTTCATTCAATGATCGGAAATCAACAACTACGTGCCACTTTTTCTTTTCAGAAGCATCGCTGTTAAATCCCCATGAAGTTCTTGGAGTTTTTTGTATTTAGCACTAAATAACAAATTTTATTGCTAACAAAACTATTAATACTTTATTTTGATTGTAAAACTAACAAACGAAACAAGCTCTAAATAATCAAACAAAACGGCTCTATAATGTTTCCAGACTCTTGCATTTTCTTTGACTTTCAATTTGTTTCTGACTGCTTCTTAACAGCTAAAAAACCGAGGAGGCCCTGAACGACCCCTCCAACTGCCCATTCTCCATACCAAGAGACGGTGTAGAAATATGCCAGAGCCAATGGCTATCCAGGGCGGTTTCCCTACCGTACCACGCATCGTAGCGCAACTCGCACGATGCAAATATATACAACACTGATGCGCTAACCTCGCTTTCCCAGGAAACCACCCTTGAAGGCCCATAAATTTGCCTTCGCTCGGACCCACGGCGCATCGATTGCCGTTAAAAACGATACGGTCGGGACACACTCCAGATGCCCTCGATTGCATTTTCAGCCGTATCCCCAAAACCCTTAAGGGAGACCGGATTCATGCTCCTTGGAAAATTTTCCCAAGGAAGCGCTCAATTGTCCCCTTCTTGGACGCGCCGTAGACCCAAGCATGTGGCCCCAACAATCGCTCTTTTTAGGAACAACCCATAAGGGCGAATTATATGGAGAGTTTGACGGTCGTATGATATCTTTTTGTAATAGTTCCTGCACTTGACGCTCCATTTATTCGCGATGGAACGGTGGATATCAAAATTGTTTAGTTTATACGGGAATATTGTCAGTTGTCTCTATTGAATGCGAAGTTAATCCACTTTCCGGTAAACGATCCCCAGGCAAATGAAAAATATCTTGAAACTTATCAATAATACTTCACAAATCTTCTGCGTCGTGTTCGTTGATACGTGGTAATCTGGTGTTTTCGCGTAATAGTTTTGATCTTTCGATATCGTACGGTGGCTACGTTTTATCGCGTATAGAAAATATAATTTCTTTAGTTTTCAACCCATAGAGTTTTCACTTTTAGTTCCATATAATTTTGTAACTGCTACTATACGTGGTACGATCCCAAAGTAATCAGTAGACTGTGGATTTATGCATTTATAGGCTATAGGGCTCAGTGAAATAGAATGAAAGATAGAACTTTCATCAAATGCAACGAATTTTCTATTTTATGTTTAACCCAATAATATACTTCAGAGAAGAAATGAATTCTTACTTTTGTTTTTTTTTTTATGAATTACATTATAAAATTATGCACAAAAATCCGTAGTCTAGTAGTGAGACTGTTTGTTTTATAATTCCAGTTGGTAACTCACCAAAGCAAATGAACTAATAGGATCTGCAAACCTAATAACAAAATATACCTATAGAACTGTAAGACAAGCGCTCAGAAAAATGTCAGAATTGAAAATACAAGAACAGCCAGTGAATATATTGCTCGCCAAGATGTTGCCGTTACAATGGTTAACTGTTAACTTCTATCTGTCCCTTAAAACCTTCCGCATCATACGCCTAGAACAGTCCTGGGTCCCCGGGACTGTTTATGCGAGGGCGTATGGAAGGGGAGGGAGTGTAAGTACCAGATATCGTCACCAAAGTGGCCTTCGGCTCGAACTTCGGCCTTCGTTTTCGAGTTATTAATTTTTCATAATATGGGTAAAATACATTCATACATGTATATGGGTAGATACATTTCATGCGTGAAATACGTCTGACGCGATGGATTGTGGGTACTACATGAACTCTACCTTTGTTACAGTGAACACCCGCTATTTTACTACATGGAAATAAAAGCATGCCATTAAAAAGAAGGAGGTGACCTTGAAATCTCCAAAAGTCCATCACTTAGAAAAAAATTAGTATTTGTATATTATCAGCCCTTCTTACCATACAACTTTTGTAAATAAAGTTTTTCCATAACTCGAAAACTAAGGAAGATATTCAAGATGGTTAGAGTTATTGGGCCGCACTGCATATTTGTAATAATTATTCATAATTTTTAGTTATATTTTCCGTGTTTCGTGTCTTAGTCTACTCATAAAGATGATGTTAAAACGTTTTTAATTTGGCTATAGAATATCGTATTTAAAACCACTAGGCGCCCTTCTGAATCTGCGACCTTAAAATTTGAATGTTTTGTGTTAGATTTGTTATCAGCGATCTCAAAAACCTTTGGACAAAATTTCGTAATGGTCCGATGAAATCTTGAATTTTGACTACCTTTTCGAGGTTTCTCTAATTTATTAAAAGAAAACTGTGAAATGAATTTTTTCAAATTTGCAGGAGTTTTTATTGAACATATAAGCTTTAAGAGAATGTTTTTGTTTACTTCATTTCTAACCATTTATAGGATTTAAAAGAACCCAAAGTTAGGGTTGCAAAAAAATCTTCGCTGACTGGTTAACAATTTTCCGGCCAAACGGTTCATCTGCAATCAAAAACGGAAAAAGTTTTAGAAACTAGATGCTCCTGGCTATGGCACGATGTAGGGGATTTTTACAATTTTGAAAAATAAGTAAACGGCGGTCCTTTGAAAAAAAATTTCAGATTTTGCTGCAAAATGTACTACCTTTTGTGAAAGAAAAAATAGAAAGAAACGTTTTATCAAAAAAATCCTACTTCGTGCCATAGCCAAGAACATTTAGTTTCTAAAACTTTTTGCGTTTTTGATTGTAGATGAACCGTTTGACAGGAAAACTGTCAATCAATCAGCGAAAATTTTTTTGCAGCCCTAACTTTGTGTTCTTCTAGATCCTATATATGGTTACAAATAAAGTAAAAAAAAATATTTTCTTAAAACTTCTATGTTAAATAGAAACCCCTGCAAATTTGAAAAACATTGATTGAGCAGTTTTCTTTTAATAAATTATTACATATGACTTGACTTTTCGGGCCGTTACAGTGTTGTCCCCCCTTAACGGAAGCAGATGATTCAAAATCCTTATTGTATTCTGGATATTTCTTCTCTCATTGCTATTCATGGATATGATAACATTCTCACGAGTACATTATTATGTATTAGTTATTATAAATTGAATTCTTCAATTTTTTATGAATAAAATATCTATTAATAAATGCTTCCATCATAAATAGATAAGTACGTTTTAGGCAAGCAATATAAAAAAGCTTACAACAAATTAATTTGACTGATCAAAAGGTCGAACATGTAACTATTCATGTCTTAAATATTGCGTTAGAGTTTTCTAAAAAAGCCACGTAGAATTTAACAAATAGGAAATGCATATTACAATGATCGTAAAGCGAAGAAATAAATTATATGAAGTCAAGACAATGTGAGTAAAGATATCGTTGTACATACTTTGTTCATAATAATAAGAATAAAATAAAAATACTGCTTCAGTAAACATAAGTTTAAATGGAACTATTCATTACTGTGTGTCATGTATTTGCTATTACCAGCAAACCCGTCAAAATGACGGATTTCAAATTTCTTATTTTACATATGCTGAAATCGTAGAATTATATTATATTGTATTATATGTACATATTGATATATTAATCAATTTAATTTAGAATATATTGAAGGTTGATGGTTCTAGTGTTAAAGATAGTTCTCATGGGTTTGTTATTCTCTGATGTTATTATCACAGCAGATCTAAATATAGTTTTCTTTCGTCACGTTTTCTATCAATAAATAAATATCTGCCACAAAATATGAATCAATTCTTCTAGGACAATCAGTCATGTGAAAATTATATTCATAAATTAATACAGTACAATTAAATTTATCTTCTGACCAACACTGCAGCATAACATAAACTATTTTGAACAGTGCGATTTTGGCAAGTATTCCCTATGTAGAGGTACAGTTTCAGATCTCCAACAGTATGTAGTTCTGACTCAACAAATGTTTTCGAATTTCGAACGCAATCTTCCTCCTCCCTCCAATCCAAAAGTCGATACTTCGGCGCACAGTAACGTCAAAAAAATTCTATCCCTAATAATCATATTGTTGGTGTCTTACAGACAAACTAAAAGCCGAGATCGCAATAAACGTGCATCTGGATACATTGAGGCGGGTCGAGATTTTTCAGAACACGGAGGCTGGCTTCTTGTGCGAGCTCGTTCTAAGATTGCGGCCCGTTCTTTTCTCACCTGGTGACTACATTTGTCGCAAAGGTAAGTACGGCGTCTCCGTTCCGTTTCCACCATTCCTATCGGGCGATGTATTTTCGGGACATGCATGTGATTCGCTTTTGAAATGAGCCGCTGGAACCACGCCAAGGGACGTACCAACCTGGCGAGGGGTTGAAAAGTGATTGCTTGTCCTTTCCATTTGGCCTCATTGCCAATACAGCATCCGGGAGAGGCAGTTAGGAGGGAAATGCTCTACTTCCAGAGATAACAGTTTATGATGCCCGGTCGTCGATGGCAATTCATTCCCGCTAAATAACTAACGTAGAACTCGGTGAAGACCTGGAAACGCTTCAAACGAGCAGGATTTTATCTTTCCAAATGTTTTCCAGTAGCCGCTTTGTGTATTTTCAATTTAACCGAGAAATTAAGTGTTTGATAGAGGTATACAGACATTTCCATCTTATTTGATAGTACTATGTACTATTTATAATTTTGTTTCAAAATATCAGGTAGGAGAAATGACTGTCTTACCATCCATATAACTGTGTTTTCTGTATAGATATTGAAATTTAAGGTGGAAAGTCATAATGTTTTGTGTCACTAAACTCATTTTGTCACCAATTACAATATTCTGAAGTCAGAAGTAGAGGATACTATTTAAAACAAACATGGACTATTTAGCAGCTGTGATGGCTGGAAGCGTAAAAAGGAAAGGAGAAGGAGCGTTTCGTCCTGAGCCTGCTAGTGGACTTGTCAGTAAGACTACCTAGCAGACCCTGCCTTAGACGCGGAGATATTCGATGGTCGGTTAAGAATGTATGCATACAAACGGGGAAGGATTCAGGTACTTACGGAAAAGATGTCAACTCAGTATACCTTTAGTGGCGAATGCGGGAGGTAGTGCCGCTGCAGTACCCTTTGCCAGTGATAAACGATATCAGGGCAAGTTCTTCTTCCTATGTAATTCGATGTCGAATTATTTGAGGACTAGAGAGGACGCGGACATTGTGGTCAGTGCCCACTCGATGAGGATCTGTGAAAATACGTTCCTGTAGAGCTGGTTGTCCGCTGACTTCCTGTCACAGCGGGTGTCGAGGCGTTGAGGCGCTGTCGTTGTCGTTGTCATCAGCTACAGGAAACTTGCATGGTAAGCGCGTTGCTCGTGCCAGAGATGCAGATCGTCGCGGCTAGGCACGTTGCCTTCGAAACTTATCGGGCTGCAGATTTCCTATGGGCTGTGTTTCGAAAGATGATGCCTGGGAGGTTGGCCTGCCTCGGCGCGTGGCCTGGCGGGGATCCAACGTGAGCTACGTATTTCGTGCGACGTTGTGACGGTCTCATTGCCACTGTGTGTCTCTTTCCAACCTCCAGCACTTCGGCACGAGAGCCTCTCGCTCAGACGCTCGGTAAACCAACTTCCTTCTTTACCCTGCAATTTCCACGTCTAGCGTTTAATAACCTACGTATTAATTTAATCCCCTTTTATATGTTGCTCAATATTTGGGTACAATACATTCTTTCAAAAGAAATAAACTTTTTCTTATTCATGTATTTTAACTTTTGACGTGTGAAAACGTTCTGCGTCTCGTCAACATTCTCCGCCATTTCCAGACAATGGATGATTGACGGGCGCGTGCCGAACGCAGTCCCCACTCCTTGAGATTGTAGGTAGGTCCTTCTCGAGAGGTTTGTAATACGTATGATGGAGACAGACGACTGTAGGCGACGACTCACGTCAACGGTCACACGTCATTGGCTAAGACGCGAAGAGTGAGAGAGACACAAGTGCCGTAGGTGTCTCGCGATCGCGGCAACACCGCGAAAACTCGGGCACATCCCAGGCATCATCTTTCGAAAAACAGACCATAGAATGGCCATTGGGAGGGCGGATCGTGGCGCTGCGATCCTCCGTGCGTTTTTCCCGTCAATCTGCGATTGATGTCCGTGGATCCACCTCACAGTGGTACGAGTCGTAGAAAACTCGATATAAAATCCTTACGTCTACATTTCACCGTTTATTATTACAGAAATCGTCATTCGGGGGGTCCTTGAGGTCGCAGAATTTGAGTTTCAGGTCAAACTTTTTGTTATATTAAAGTTAAACGCAGTAAGGGGAAGGAAATGTTAAAATAATTTTATATTTTGTTTAACAGTGTTGTCTGATTTATTTATAATAGTTGAAGTTAATTACTTATTCTGAAAATTCAGTAATGTAGAGGTTTGGTCTATCTGTTTTGTACTTAGAGAAGAACACAGAAGAAATGGAGCACACGTTCTTAGAATGAAATGTAAGTTAACGTGAACTTGTACTTGAAAATGCTTTCCTTAATATTTTCAGGAATATAGAAACATGTTGGCCGGGCACAGATACTTATTACGCGCCGCGTCGCGAGCGTTGAATTTTGAGTAAAAAAGTACTGATCTTTATTAGCCGTATACCCAATAATTAACTAATAATTTTACTTTGTTTCTTGAAAATGATCTGTGCGTAATATCGAGTTGGAGACTCAATATCAGCAAAGATTTCCGTAAGACCGCGGAGTTTACGTGACAATGTTTATCAACATGACTGATTCTGCATATGAAATTGTAATCGCCTATTCTATCCGTGATTCCGTATTGAAGTTATCATCAGTGTTTATATGTGACTATTTCAGTAAAATAAAAACAAAAATGAAATTTAGTAATTGTGAAAAAGTGTATATGCTTTTAGTTTATGGTGACTGACGTATAAATGCAACAAGAGCTATGGCTAAGTATGCCAAAATTTATCCTAAACGAAATCAATCATGTCGATTGATATTCGAGAGACTTTGTATATCGCTTCGAAAAAGTGGAAGTTTTAACGTTACCAAACGTAACGTAACCAAAACTGCTACTTCTGAAGAAAATACTATTGCGATCCTAACAGCGGTAATAAAAAATCCTCATATCAGTACACGACAGATTTCACGAGGTTCTGGTATTAGCAAAACAAGTGTGCTTCGAATTCTTCATAATGAAAAATATCATTCACAACACCTAGTACTTCATCGGGAGTTTCACAGATCGGATTATGAAAACCGCGTTCGATTTTGCCAGTGGTTCTTGCATCAAATGCACAATGATGATCTTTTTTTACAAAAAGTGTTAGTACCCGACGAAGCGACTACTAATCGCGGGCAAATTAATTTTCATTGGATGAGAAATAATGAACGATTAACGGCATAAAATATTCGAATTTTTTACGTGATAAAATTTAGCAACTTTATTAGAAAATGTACCATTAAATATCCGCACAGACATCTGGTACCAACATGATAGTTGCCCCGCACATTACGCACATGTAGCAAGGTAAGTGCTGGACAGACAATTCCCCAATCGATGGATCGGTCGTGGTGGAAAATTTCTGTGGCCACCACGTTCACTAGATCTAACGCCGCTAGACTACGTTGTATGAGGTACATTAAAAGATATGGTATATCGTGAACAAACGACAACACCAGAGAATATGAAAGAACGAATTCGTGAAGCATGCAGAATGCTTGCTGCAGAAACAATTCACAGTGCAGTTTCCTCGTCGGTACAATAGATTACATCAGTGTATTAATGTAAATAGACACCGTTTCAAATACCTACGTTAGTGAATGGAAAAAGTCTTACGGAAATCTTTGCTGGTATTGAATCTCCAACTCGATATTACGCGCAGACCATTTTCAAGAAATAAAGTGAAATTATTAGTTAATTATTAGGTCTATTGCTAATGAAAGTCAGTACTTTTTTACTCACAATTATCGCTCTTCGTTATTTTGGCATAAAACATAGAGCTTTCATTTAGAAAAACGAAGTTGATCGTCAAATCTCCGAAATGCCTCCACTTACAAAAAAAATACAGGATGTAACAAAAATGATGTTCGACCCGGAAATGAGACACTCGGGTGGTGAATTGAAACAACTTATTCCTTAGCAAAAATGTAATCTGAGGCTTCGTTGCCGAGATATTAACGAAAAACCGCGACCAATCAGAGCACGAGCTTGCCAGCCGAGTTCCCGCGCTAGTGGTGGCTACGCGCTGCACTTGTACTATGGAGTTCCGAACAAGCAAGTCGGCATGCATCCCAGGAAACCGCGTATAATAACAAATAAACATGGCGTTACAAATAAAATCATACTTGTTATCATATGTCGTTTGTTATTTAAGGAGATTAATGAATGAAGCACGAATACACATTTACTTTTTTAAACAGAATGGAAACTAATAATTATTTGTAGAGAGAGGCTGAGGAATTTGTAAATTTCCTTTTCAAATAATGTATTAACAAAAAAATATTGTAACACAGAATGAACGAGAAGTGATCGTGGTTCCGTATTGGCATAAAAATTCATAGTTTAATAACGGGCACCAATGTTACTAATAATGAAATAAGTTACTTCAATAAGCCCGAAGAGAAATTTAGGTACAGGAACTTGCAGAATTATCGCCGGAAATATGTCATAACTTGCGTTAAATTAAAAAAATAATAATCAGGAATAAATTGATTAAAACTCACCCTTTCGGAAAGTCACCTGGGGTTTACAAACCTGTGTCACTAGGTTACTGGACCGATCCTAGTCATCGACGGACGGAACGGTTTATGGTAGGGTAGTGCCCAGTCCGCAGGTGATTGCAGGTGTACGGCACCAGCCGAAGTTATGGATTGTAACGTCAAGTGCGTCCGGGTTATTCCCGCGAATGTGTATTGACTTCACTGCACGACCACTAACACTGATCAACCGACACTATCACTTAATGTATTTCTAATCGAACGTGTTGTTCCTACGTTAGCAAATTCGTGGCCCTGAAAGGAGCCGATTGTTTTCAATTTATCAGACGTTTTACGTAGCCAAACGCTTGCACAGCAGCAGGCGCATATTCGTTATTCTGTGCGTACCACCAGAACATTGCGTAATACTCCCGTGAACTGAACATCTCTGTCGCCCGATTGCTAATCGATTGACAGAATTTTTCCGTAAGGGCTTCCTCTACCCCCAAGTAGTTTCCCATCTTTACATTATGAGTTCAC